TAAACTAGTAAACCTGGAAGAAATGGATAAATTCCTGGACTCCTGTGTCCTCCCAAGCCTAAACCAGGAGGAAGCTGAAACTATGAATAGACCAATAACAAGGTCTGAAGTTGAGGCAGCAATTAAGAGCCTACCACAGAAAAAAAGCCCAGGTCCAGACGGGTTCACAGCCGAATTCTACCAGACACACAAGGAGGAGCTGGTACCATTCCTTCTAAAACTATTTCAAACAATCCAAAAAGAGGGAATCCTTCCCAAATCATTTTATGAGACCAACATCATCCTGATACCAAAACCCAGCAGAGACCCAACGAGAAAAGAAAACTTCAGGCCAATATCCATGATGAACATAGATGCAAAAATCTTCAATAAAATATTGGCAAGCTGATTGCAACAGCAAATCAAAAAACTTATTCATCATGATCAAGTAGGATTCATCCCAGGGATGCAAGGCTGGTTCAACATACGCAAGTCTATAAATGTAATTCACCACATAAACAGAACCAAAAACTAAAACCACATGATTATCTCAATTGACGCAGAGAAGGCATTTGACAAAATTCAACAGCCCTTTATGCTAAAAACCCTCAATAAACTCGGTATCGATGGAACGTATCTCAAAGTAATAAAAGCTATTTATGACAAACCAACAGCCAATATCATACTGAATGGGCAAAAACTGGAAGCATTCCCTTTAAAATCTGGCACTAGACAAGGATGCCCTCTTTCACCACTCCTATTCAATATAGTACTGGAAGTTCTAGCCAGAGCAATCAGGCAAGAAAAAGAAATAAAGGGTATTCAAATAGGAAAGGTGGAAGCCAAATTGTCTCTATTTGCAGACGACATGATAGTATACCTAGAAGACCCCATCGCCTCAGCCCAAAAACTCCTGAAACTGATAAACAACTTCAGCAAAGTCTCAGGATATAAAATCAATGTGCAAAAATCACAAGCATTCGTCTACACCAATAACAGACTTAAAGAAAGCCAAATCAAGATCGAACTGCCATTCGCAATTGCTACAAAAAGAATAAAACACCTTGGAATACAACTCACAAGGAACGTAAGAGACCTCTTCAAGGAGAACTACAAACCACTGCTCAACGAAATCAGAGAGGACACAAACAGATGGAGAAACATTCCATGTTCATGGTTAGGAAGAATTAATATCATGAAAATGGCTATACTGCCCAAAGTAATTTACAGAATCAACGCTATCCCCATCAAGCTACCATTGACTTTCTTCACAGAACTGGAAAAAACCACCATGAACTTCATATGGAACCAAAAGAGAGCCCGCATAGCCAAGTCAATTCTAAGCAAAAAGAACACAGCGGGGGGCATCACACTACCAGATTTCAAACTATACTACAAGGCTACAGTAATCAAAACAGCATGGTACTGGTACCAAAACAGAGATATAGACCAATGGAACAAAACAGAGGCACCGGAGGCAACACAACATACATACAGCTATACAATCTTTGATAAACCTGACAAAAACAAGCAATGGGGAAAGGATTCCATGTTTAACAAATGGTGTTGGGAAAACTGGCTAGCCATGTGCAGAAAGCAGAAACTGGACCCCTTCCTGACACCTTACACTAAAATTAACTCCAGATGGATTAAAGACTTAAACATAAGACCTGGCACTATAAAAACCCTAGAAGGAAATCTAGGCAAAACCATCCAGGACATAGGAGTAGGCAAGGACTTCATGAACAAAACACCAAAAGCATTGGCAACAAAAGCCAAAATAGACAAATGGGACCTAATGAAACTCCACAGCTTCTGCACGGCAAAAGAAACAGTCACTAGAGTGGTTGGCAACCAACAGAATGGGAAAAAATTTTCGCAGTCTACCCATCTGACAAAGGGCTGATATCCAGAATTTACAAAGAACTCAAACAGATTTACAGGAAAAAAACAAACAAGCCCATTCAGAAGTGGGCAAAGGATATGAACAGATACTTTACGAAGGAAGACATATATGAGGCCAACAATCATATGAAAAAATGCTCATCGTCACTGGTCATCAGAGAGATGCAAATCAAAACCACATTGAGATACCATCTCACGCCAGTTAGAATGGCGATCATTAAAAAATCTGGAGGCAACAGATGCTGGAGAGGATGTGGAGAAAAAGGAACACTTTTACACTGTTGGTGGGAGTGTAAATTAGTTCAACCATTGTGGAAGACAGTGTGGCGATTCCTCAAGGCCTTAGAAATGGAAATTCCATTTGACCCAGCAATCCCATTACTGGGTATATATCCAAAAGACTATAAATCGTTCTACTATAAGGACACATGTACACGAATGTTCATTGCAGCACTGTTTACAATAGCAAAGACCTGGAATCAACCCAAGCCCATTGATAATAGACTGGATTGGAAAAATGTGGCACATATACACCATGGAATATTATGCAGCAATCAGAAATGATGAGTTTGTGTCGTTTGTAGGGACATGGATGAATCTGGAAAACATCATCCTCAGCAAACTGACACAAGAACAGAAAATGAAGCACCGCATATCCTCACTCATAGGTGGGTGATGAAAAATGAGAACACATGGACACAGAAAGGGGAGTACTAAACACTGGGGTCTATTGGGGGGGAAAGGGGTGGGCCAGTGGGAGGGGGAAGTGGGGAGGGATAGCCTGGGGAGAAATGCCAAATGTGGGTGAAGGGGAGAAGAAAAGCAAAGCACACTGCCATGTGTGTACCTACGCAACTGTCTTGCATGCTCTGCTCATGTACCCCAAAACCTAAAATCCAATAAAAAAAAAAAGAATATCCCTACAGCATTATTCCTAGTAGCTAAAAACCAACAGTTTGTTCAACAATAGATTGTGTTAATAATATGTGGTATTATCATAAAGTAGAGCAGCTCACAGCAATGAACATGAACAAACTCCTGCTATATAAAGTAATCTAGATAATCTTACCAATGTGGAATACTGAACAAAAGAAAAAAGAATAGATCAGGTATAACTGTACATACACAAAGTTCAAAAAGAGATAGGAGTAATATAAAATGCTAGGAAAAGTACAGCAACTATTTAACTTCCAGGAAAGAAAAGTCATGATTAGTAGAGTACACAGAAGGAGCTTCCACATACTGGCAATGTTCTACTTCTGCAGCTATATTTGCATCTGTATCTGTATCTGTATCTGTATCTGTATCTGTATCTGTATCTGTATCTGTATCTGTATCTCTATCCCAAAGTAGATACAGATTGATATGGCTCTTTGTCTCTACCCAAATCTCATCTCCAATTGTAATCACCACCAGTCAGGGATGGCCTGTAATCCCCACATGTCAAGAAAGGGAAGTGATTGGATTATGGGTGTGATTTTCCCCATGGTGTTCTCATGATACTGATTGAATTCTCACAAGATCTGATGGTTTTATAAATGGTAGTTTTTCCTGCACTCACACACTCTCTCACCTGCTGCCATGTAAGACGTGCCTGCTTCCCCTTCTGCCATGATTGTAAGTTTTCTGAGGCCTCCCCAGCCATGTAGAACTGTAAGCCAATTAAACCTCCTTTGTTTATATTAATAAATTACCCAGTCTTGAATAATATTTCTTTATAGCAGTGTGAGAATGGACTAATATAGAGATCAAGAAGTAGAATGTTGTTTTTTGGTTATTGGTTTCTAATAATTTCTCAAGTGGCATATTTGTGTTTTGTGTAGTTTTCTGCATGTGTTACACTATTTAATTTTTAGATTCAAATGAGATAATGAGTACACACTCACCAGAATATCTGCCTACATTTCTATCATCTGGAAACCTCTGACAATAAAAAAGTTTTATGAATGCCTGTGGTGAACTCATTTAGTCACAAATCATGATCTAAACTTGCACAAGGCTATTTGTACTCTTTATTAGTTGTGCTTAGTGTGAATATTCATTCATTTTACTGTGGAAATACTCTGTGTTTGATTATGTAGTGTTACCCTAGATGATATACAAATAATTTCAAATCCAAGAGTTCTGAATTCTAAAATTCAGCACGTAAAAAGTTTATAATGAGGGATTATTAAATAGCAATGGATATGAATGTCCATCAGCTAATGCACTCACATGAATGACCCTAAGATAATAATGTTGAGCCAAATAAGCAACAGAAGAATGCAAAAAAGTATAATACCCTTTACAAAAAGTACAAAAATAGGCAAATTCAGAGCATACTGTATATAGTTTAGACATATATGCATATGTGGCAAAACTACAAAGAAAAGTAAGGCAATGTTACACCATACTTAGGGTTCTTCTAAAGAGGGAAGAAAGGAATATAAGTGAAAAGAAGCACACACAGGGTCTCAAAGGATTGAGCCATATAATATTTACACTGAGTAGTGGGAGAATGAGCATTAATTTGATTATCACTATTGAAACAGCACATATGTGCTGTATACATTCTTTTGTATGTATATTTACAACATAAATAAACAAATAAATCCAGAGACAGCACCTGCACCTAATATAGAGGCTACACATTAGTCTTATCTCTGCTCCCTGGGATCATAGAGAATAAGAATGTTTATGACATTTGATGGTAAAAAGTGTGACCTTTGATCTGTTTTATTCTATACTTTTTCGTATTTTCTGGCACATACTGTATTTTATCCATAAATATTGGGCTCTAACTAAAGGTGTGGACTCCATGACAAGGCATAGTAAAAATGACTGAGGATGACCAATCCAAACTGCAGCTCACTCAAGGGAAAACCCAGGAGCAGTGACCCTCCTGGATCCCAACCCTGGTCCTCTGATGAGGGGCATCATTGACACTGCTGAGACTCAGGGATCCATAGTCCAGAGGGGACAGCTGGGAGATTGGACACTCACCCTATCTTGTCTCTAACTAGGAGGGTCTGGGATTGGGTCCCAGGAGACACTGCATGTGAAAAGTCAGCAGCACCTCCTGGCTCCTGTGCCCGAGGTGTCACTGAAGACCTGACTTTAGTCTATGTTGTTCCTAGAGACAGGGAAAGAATCTGTCACTCCAGTCATGTTTTCTTGGGGAGACAACAGTGCAGCAAACTCAATCTCCTTGGTAGTAGTGGCAGAGTCTGAGACTGGCCAGCAGTGCCAGGTAAGAATTGAGCCATAGGAATGGGGAGAGAGAGCAGAATCTAGAGAATGTACATGTACAAACACATGGACCTAGCCCACACAGCTTCTCCATTTTTCCTTTCTCCCCTTCCTTTCCACTCTTTCTTTCAGCCAATCACTTTCTGGTTAACTCTGGTATTCATCAGGTCAGTGATGGTCCAGCCTAAGGTCATTGTAGAGTCTCAGACTATCCTTCTCTAAGCTTCATTGGTGACCACTATATAGCATCTGAGCAATAACAAAGCATAACTCATTATTAGCCAGCTAGGACAGGCAAGGTTCCCAGAATCACCCTCAATCATTACACCAGGACAATACCAATAATGTACTCTTCTATGTCCATTTATAGTTTAGCAATCTTACTCACATCCCTTCTTTTTCTTATAATTGAACTGGTGAATGATTATTTAAGATTTTGTTTTTGCTTTTGTTTTATGAGACAGAGTCTCACTCTGTTGCCCAGACTGGAGTGCAGTGACACAATCTCAGCTCACTGCAACCTCTGCATCCCGGGTTCAAATGATTTCCTGTGCCTTAGCCTCCCAAGTACCTGGGACTACAGGCGCAAGCCACCACGACTGGCCAATTTTTGTATTTTTAGTAGAGAAGGGTTGTCACCATGTTAACCAGGCTGTTATCAAACTCCTGACCTCAAGTAATCCACCCCCCTCAGCCTCCCAGAGTGCTGGGATTACAGGCGTCAGCCACCGCACTTGGCCTAGGATGGATACATTATACAATTAATAATATTTAGGCTCTGATGATGAAGATATTTGACCAAGTTTATACTTAACTGCAGAAAAACATATGCTTTGCTATTAATAGTTTGCAATTAAGAGTTCTTAGTAGAATCACAGTCATTCAAAAGTGAACAGTGATAACCACAACTCTCAATATGGACACCTCATAATTTACAAGCCCAACATGCAGGCACTAACCAGGATACAACAACAAGAACAAAGCACTGTCATTTTATTGAAAACAGAAGTAAGAAGGTTAGATCATGTTTTCTGAGCATGTATATATAGTGTATCAGCCTTGTTCTGAATATCTTACAATCATAAATGTAATCCTCATAACTACTCTAACGTGGTAACTTTATTAACTATTTCATTTAAGCAGATGTGGAAAATGAAGCTGAGAGAGGTTAAATGACTTCCTCAAAGTCACATAGAGAGTAAAGAATAGGGAAATTCTGTCAGATTCCGAAGAGAATTGTATGTTTAATCACTACACCAAACAAACATGACACCAGCACATGCTACCATTGAGTGTTGTATTTGTTTTTCAAAACCATCAGACAGGAATAGTGGAATTTCTCACGTTGAATGCACATCATGGTTTATGAAGAGACTTCACCTGATTCCAGCATTTGGTAACCTCAAAAAAACTATCAGGTAGGGTTATTTGCTACCTCTTGTGGATCAAAAAAGAAAAAGAAAAACAGCAAGGCTCAAAGGAGGTAAATATTTCCCAAAGTTTAAAAAACATGTGAGAAACAGAACTGGAAAGCACATCATTCAAGGCTTCCCATTACATTCTATCCCAAGGTCACATTTCTACTACTATTAATGACATAACAATCACCACCCTTAATGAAAGCCTGCTCTCCGTATATGTTATCTCAATAATAAGTTCAGTGACTCTGTGAAGTTACACATGGTACAAACCAGGAAACAGAGATTCACACAGGCTCAACAATTGACCAAGGTCAGACTGAGAACAAGGAGCAGAGAAAGGATTCCTATCCAGTCTCCAGGAGGCCAAGGCCTAGATCTTAACACAAAATATGTTTTATTTTGTTTTTTTTGATACAGAATCTCACTTTGTTGCCCAGACTGGAGGGCAGTGGTGTAATCTTGGTTCATTGCAAACTTTGCCTCCAGGGTTTAAGCGATTCTCCTGCCTCAGCCTCCCAAGTAGCTAGGATTACAGGCACACACTCAGCTAATTTTTGTGTTTTTAGTAGAGACAGGGTTTCACCAGGTTGGCCAGGCCGGTCTCGAACTCCTGACCTCAGGTGATCCACCAGCCTCAGCCTCCCAAAGTGCTGGGATTACAGGTGTGAGCCAACATTCCCAGCCTAGATCTTAACACAAAATATGTTGATGGTGAAGCTCATAATGAAAATGAAAATGATGTGCTCTTGATGATAATGTGTATTTCAGTTTGCAATCTCCTCATGGTCACATTGACCCATTACAATGGTCATCAGAGGCAAAGGGGCTGGAGCACTCCCAGCACACCAGAGACCCCTGAATCTCCACTGGCTCCACTCTAAAGAAATTGTTCTGTCTTCCATCTCCTTCAGCACACATGCACCTACATACACACAGAGCACCTTGTGTTGCTCACTAAATCCTAGTATGTGCAAGACTCCCAAATTAGCTCCACGGTAAGGCACTGATGTTAAAACTGTGGTTTTAAGAGTTTATTTTAAAGGAAGAATTAAAACTTGAAGAAGCTCTTTAAAGTAAATTCCAGTTCAGTCTCATTCAGACAATTTATGAGGAAAACTTGAGCTATTACAGAACTCTGGAAACCAAAGTACACTTTCATCCTGATGCCTCATTATTATTGTCCACAGTCTCCATATCTGTACATATTTGCAAACATGCAGTTATAGCCACTAGTGATTCAGAGTAATCTCCCCAAAGAACAAAGAAAAACACACCAAAGTCCATGGACTCTGTAATTTTTTAAGAGTTACTTATTGAACCAGAATTACCTTCTACTTTTTCTGCCTTAGAAGGAAATTAGAAACAAAACCGGCATCTCTGACTTCTTGCTCCTGGGCTTCTCTGAACACCCAGAGCATCAGCTTCTCCTGTTTGAGCTCTTCCTGGGCATGTACCTGGTCACCGTGTTGGGGAACCTGCTCATCATCCTGGCCATTGGTGCTGACCCTCATCTCCATACCCCCATGTACTTCTTCCTGGCCAATTTGTCCTTTATTGATACCTGTTTCACCTGCACCATAGTCCCCAAGGTGCTGGTGAACATCCAGACACAGCATCGCACCATCTCCTACACCAGGTGCCTCATGCAGATGTACTTCTTCATGGCATTGGCTCTGCTGAATGACTTCCTGCTGGCCGTGATGGTGTATGATCGCTACATGGCCATCTGCCTTCCTCTACACTATACCACAATCATGCATCCCCAGCGCTGTCTCCTGCTGGTGGCTGTATCCTGGCTCTGCTCCTACCTACTGGCTTTCTCACTTACTTTTCTCATAGCTCAGCTTTCTTTCTGTGCCTCTCATTCTATCCCATGCTTTTTCTGTGATCTTCTCCCAATCCTCAAGTTTGCCTGTTCAGACACCAATGTCTTTCACGTCATGATGTTCATGAAAGCCACTCTCTTGGGGGTCATCCCTCTCACCTGTGTCCTGGTCTCTTATGCCCACATTATGCACACCATCCTCAGGATCCCCTCTGCTGACGGGAAGCACAAAATCTTCTCTACCTGTGGCTCTCACCTGACAGTGGTCACTCTCTTCTATGGAACCATCTTTCTGGTGTATTTCCAGTCCTCATCCTCCTACTCAGCATCTGTGGTATACACAATGGTCACCCCCATGCTGAACCCTTTTGTCTATAGCTTGAGGAACAGGGACATGAAGTGGGCTTTGCAGAAACTCCTTGGCTTGGGAAAATGCTGTACTCAGTAAAGGGTACTTCTCCAGAGTAGAGGCCTGGGCTCTTCTAAATGCCTTCCTAATCAAACTTCTCTATTACAATCTTGAAAAACCCAAATTCAGGGCAAGATGGATGCTCAATATCACAAGCAATTTAACAAATGAAGGACCTGGCAGGACTTGAAATGGACCAACTGGCCAGACACAGAGCTGCAGCCTGGAGAGAGGCAGCAGTCAGCAATCATTACTGGATTGTACTGGACAAATTTAAACAGGCTGGGAAGACATTATTTAAGACAGTTGCAATACAGAGCAGATACTGGAACTCAGCACAAAATCATCTGCTGACACTAAGGGCAGGAGGATATTTAAGTGCTGGGCTGAGAGAAAGAACATAGGCTGTCTGTTTCTGCTAAGTGGCTTTACCGAAAGGAAAAACAAACCTCTCACATCTTTGTGACAGGAGGTAGTTTCATAATGTAGAACAAAGAATTGTCCATGAAACTTAGGTCATGACCCTCCCACAGAGCCTGGAGGATAGGTGTGCCCTGACCCTCAATGATTGAAATGAAATTTTGAATAAATTTTGATGATTGAAATATTAAAATTAGATGATTATTTCATTTCAAATAGATGGTTCCCAGGTCCTTGAGAATGATATTCCTGGGTCATAAAACAAAAGAGCCTCCTTTTTTAAAAAATTTCAAGAGGCATAGAAATAATGTTTAAGTTTTCTAAAGTAAATGCCGTAAGAAAAGGGAGGTCAGGAACCTAGAGTCAGGAAAGAGCCTGTGTGAAGTTTAGTCAAGTGGAGGGAAACATTAAGTCTGCCAAAGTCACGGGTGACTTGGTAAGTAGACTTAATGGGTATTCAAGATATTCAAACCAGAGTGTGAGACCACAAAAACAATGACATCAGACACAACTTAGGTTCTAGAAGGAAGCTCAGCTGGCAGCTCACTCTGGGACCAAGAAGTCACAACCAGTCACAAGAAATGTCAACAGGACCTGGAAGGATAAATTACTCTGGGCTTCAGGGACCATTTCCAAGCCCAGCTTTGGGAGCAGGTCATTCACAGGGATTAACCTCCACATGGAGAAAGCTGAACCAAGAAGCTTCTATTTGCTGCACTAAGAACAAGAATAATCCTGGAAGAGGAAACCAGCCACAGATAGATCAGGAGATGGGCCCAAAATCACCCAATTGGAGTAGAATTTTTTTAAACTGTAAGTTCTAGGATACATGTGCAGAATGTGCAGGTTTGTTACATAGATATTTGTGTGCCATGGTGGTTTGCTGTACCTATCAACCTGTCATCTAGATTTTAAGCCCTACATGCATTAGCTACTTGTCCTGATGTTTTCCTGCCCCTCACCTCCCATCATCCAACAGGCCCTGGTGTGTGTTGTTCCCCTCCCTGTGTCCATGTGTTCTCATTGTTCAACTCCCACTTATGAGTGAGAACATGTGGTGTTTGGTTTTCTATTTCTGTGTTAGTTTGCTGAGGATGATGGCTTCCAGTTTCATCCATGTCCCTGCAGAAGACATGATCTCATTCCTTTTATGGCTGCATAGTATTCCTTGGCATATATGTTCCACATATTCTTTATCCAGTCTACCATTGATGGGCATTTGGGTTGGTCCCGTGTCTTTGCTATTGTAAATAGTGCTGCAGTTTAGATCTAAAGACTCCGACAGTAAGAGTCATTAGTCATTAATTATTGGAACAAGTAATTGATTCTTTTGCTTTTAATCCCTAGTTTATTCTGTTTGCCCATACTGAAAAACAATATATGTGAATTCTATATGAATGTAAAATAAAAAGAACTAAGAAAAAGAGAAAAAATCACTCATCATTTTTTCATTTAAAGACAACTGCTGTTAATACTTTACACCAGTACCTTTCTGTATTTTTCTAATAGCTTTTGCATTTGCATTTGATGAGAAAATGCCATACAAATAATTATATACATATTTTCTTTCTTAATCTATAACATGAGTTATCTCCATTTGACTTCTGTATATCTGCCTTTTGTCTAGCAACATTGAGGGAATGTTGTGTGATACAATGCTGTTTCTTGAAAAGAAAACTCTAGGTATAAGTGGATGGTAGAGAGAAATCTGGGTTGGCAGCAGGACTGGATATGGGACCTCTCTTTCTCTGTTAAAGCCCTCCGGGTCCCAGAATAAGGAAGTACAGATAGGAAGGTTTCCCTACCTGTGTAAAGGTGCCACTCATTGGAGAATAGCACTTGTGATGGTTGAAGCAACGGACAGGGAGCAAGTGCCTGTTATGAGAAGCAGTGTTGATAGAGCTCTTTATTAAATTGAATCACTGCTTTTTGGGTTAAAAATATTATATCCTTATCTGCTTCATGTTGCTGATATTTCCAGTTAATTCTTCATCTTTTAACTTTGTGGTCTTTTTATCTAAGCAAGTTTTCAACTTTCATATTATCACTATCATACCATATGCATATCAATTTGTATATTATCATATCATATTGTGGCCTCTTCTGCTGGTTGTATAATGAGAATATTCTTCTCAATTCAGAGTTATTTGAATAGTCGACTTTTTTTTTCCATTTTCTCAGGGCACATTACTTTTTAGTGATTTCATTTAGAAAATATTAATTTAGAAAAACAATAAATAATTAAAGGAGTTCCATCCCAACACATCCCTCTCACTTTCTTTAAATGTTTCTTCCCCTTTGTGTTTAACATGATTATTAACAGATAAAAATGTTGAGTGTCTCTGAGTTGTCATTGTCTCATATGAACACATATATTCCACTTCAGAGTCTTTACTTATGGTGTCTTCTCCATGGTATCTTCCCCATCTCCAGGCCAGCAAAGACTTCCTACTCTACCGTCTATACCAGGCTGTACTGTCCACAGTGATTAAGAGAAAGAGAACTCTCCTTTATTCTTGCCTTTTTTATTAATGCATAAAAGCTGTAGAGACTTAATATTCAAATAAAGTAAATTGTCCAGGTAAAAATACCACAGCATAATCTTTAGCTGATTAATATCAATACTCAGTTCTTCCAAAATAAAACAATAGTTTCAAGTATCCAGATATCTCAGATATTGTGGTAAAGAACTAGGCCCGAGGTGAATATTCTGATTCTTGTTCACTAATGACAAAAAATATAAAAGCAGACTCACCTTGGAAGGAAATATAGAATCATAGAGTATATTCAGAGTGCCACTCTGAGTAGCTCTTTTATTTCAACTGGGATTACCAGAAAAGAGCAGTGCAATGACCCTATGGGTGGTAACTATAAAGCCACCCAAGGATAGTTGACAACTTCACAGATACCTTCAGGCAGAAGAGTCCTTGCTGAACACAAAGTGTTGTGAGTAGGTCCTTCTAAACTAAAGTTTACCCTTGTTTTGCTAATTTGTTCTGCCTCCCACCTAAATTCCCTGAAATCACTGAAAGGGCTAAAGTATATCTCACTTTCAATCATCTTATCCCCACCCCAGGCCACTGCTCACCCTCTTTCAGAGATGTACAGGTATCTTGCCCCATCCACACAAGCTCTTAGGTAAAAGAATTTTTCAGTCTTCTTAATTTGCCTTATTTTTCTTATGCTAAAATCAGACGGGCAAATCTCAGGGATTTAGTGACCTGCCCTGTCCACATCCCATCTTGTATAATCTATTATTTTCCATGGTCTCCTTTCACAGGTATGAGCTCCCTGTGAGAAATTAGCCCTAACTCATGGATCTGGTCAGATGCTACCCCTGTATGATTCATAGAAGACCCTGTAATTTACTAAAATTGGATCCTGACTGTCAGTAGAAAGAAAGGAATCCTTGTTGGACATGAAAAGTTATTATACCATGATGTCTTTACATAGTACTTTGGCTGAATCTCAGGCATGAACATAGGTTTCTTGACATCTAGGTCAACTGTGATAATCAGGACAGTCAATACTTGATTGTCAAATTGCCATATGATAATGTGTGGTTGTTGGATCAATAAAAATAACTGAAGGAGAAAGTCCAGGGAGAACTTTACTTTCTACTCCTTGACTCCTCCTCTGATGAATAGTTCACTTGAGGGAAGTTCCTCTTCCTATAAGCATACACAGAACATCTTTAACAACTCTGTTTCTTAGGTTTTAGATAAAGAATTTCATATAGGAGTCAACATCAGGTACAGCACAGCTTCAATGGCCCCATCTTGAATGAGCAGGAAGAGTAAAATTTCTCAAAATCTCTTTGTTTCATTTACCTGAAGACTATATCATGTAATTAAGACTTGAGATTACTGTAGCCTTGTAGTATAGTTTGAAGTCCAGTAGTGTGATGCCTCCTGCTGTGTTCTTTTTGCTTAGGATTGACTTGGCTATGCGGGCTCTCTTTTAATTCCATATGAAGTTCAAGGTGGTTTTTTCCAGTTCTGTGAAGAAAGTCAATGGTAGCTTGATGGGAATAGCATTGATTCTGTAAATTACTTTGGGCAGTATAGCCATTTTCACGATATTGATTCTTCCTAACCATGAACATGGAATGTTTCTCCATCTGTTTGTGTCCTCTCTTATTTCATTGAGCAGTGGTTTGTAGTTTTCCTTGAAGAGGTCCTTTACGTTCCTCGTTAGTTGTATTCCTAGGTATTTTATTCTCTTTGTAGCAATTGTGAATGGCAGTTCGTTCTTGATTTGTCTCTCTTTCAGTCTGTTATTGGTATATAGGAATGCTTGTGATTTTTGCATTGATTTTATATCCTGAGACCTTGCTGAAGTTGCTTACCAGTTTCAGGAGTTTTTGGGCTGAGATGATGAGGTCTTCTAGATATACTATCATGTCATCTGCAAATAGAGACAATTTGGCTTCCTCCTTTCCTATTTGAATATCCTTTATTTCTTTTTCTTGCCGGATTGCTCTGGCTAGAACTTCCAGTACTATATTGAATAGGAGTGGTGAGAGAGGGCATCCTTGTCTAGTGCCAGATATCAAAGGGAATGCTTCCAGTTTTTGCCCATTCAGTACCATATTGGTTGTTGGTTTGTCATAAATAGCT